CTCCAGGAAATCTAAAAATTATCTATTGAAGTGGGGCTACCCCTGCACTGAAAGGGTTAACTGCTCGTTTTGATTTAGGGCAGGGGTGGGCAAACTCCAGCCCTCCAGCTGTTGTAGAACCACAAATCCCATGAGGCATTATAAGATTCTCACAGCCACAGGCATGCCTCCCAGAGATAGAAGCATAATGGGATTTGCAGTTTCAACCCCGGCCGGAGGGCCGGAGATTGCCCACTCCTGGTCTAGGGGCTAAAATCAAGTAGATATACTCACGTGATCATCAGTCCTGCAGTGGTGACCGCTCACCTCTCTCCCCCTCTGCTCTGACTGGGGAATGTCCCTCGGAGTCTTTACATCTAATGCAGCTGCACTAGACATAATGAGGTCATGGACCCTTAGACCGCCAGAGCCTGGGGGAGAAGAAGCTGTGGGGACCCATGAAGCAGTCAGACAGCATCAATGATCAGATGAATGTATCTTCTTTATTTTACCCCCTAGACCAGGGGTAGGCAACCTTGGCTCTCCAGCTGTGCTGAAACTACAAATCCCATTATGCTTCTGCCTCTGGGAGTCATGCTTGGGGCTTACAATGCTGTCAGGAACGTAGAACTAATGCTCATAGCATAAGGAGGGCTCGAGTTACTACACACACTATGGCACGCAGAAACAGATGAGCAGTAACTGCGCATGTGCGTGTTCAGCGTACGCATAATCGTGTGCAACGCGCACGTGCCCAGTGCACGAATTGGCGACAATCGGCCTATTTAAACCCCAAGCAGCAACTGATAGTTGCTGGAAGATCTCAGCTGTACCTGTACCTGTGTTCCTGTATCTGAATCCTGTGACTGACCCGGCTTGCTCCTGTTTCCTGCTGTCTGCTGCCTGCCTTCTGACCTCGGCTTGTCTGACTATTCTCCTGCCTCCTGATTCGGCTCCGATCTGTCTGTTTGGTTCTGACCCGGCTTCAACTGACCACGTCTACCATCCGGATTCTCCTGGCCTGCCAGCCACTGACCCAGTCCGCCTGAATACTGCATCTGGCTTCCTGCATCCGGCTTCCTGCATCTGGCTGCCTGAATCCTGCATCTGGCTTCCTGCATCCGGCTTCCTGCATCCTGCATCTGGCTTCCTGCATCCGGCTTCCTGCATCTGGCTTCCTGCATCCGGCTTCCTGCATCTGGCTGCCTGAATCCTGCATCTGGCTTCCTGCATCCTTACCAGCAGGTGATCAGCATCCACAGGCACTGGTGTCTCTCTACGTCCGTGCGCTACCTGTGCCATCTCCAGGGGTGCTCTGACGAGAGTTACAAAAGGAGCCTCCCTCATCATTCAGACCATACCAGGTACGTGACAAATGCCTTATGGGATTTGTAGTTTCAGCACAGCTGGAGAGCCAAGGTTGCCTACCCCTGCCCTAGACCAAAAGGAGCAGTCAACCCTTGCAGTTCTGGGGGCAGCCCCACTGCAAGGGTTAATTTTCAGATTATCTGGAGTTCTTCTTTAAATTACCTTTACACATTGAAATGGTGCCTTAAAAGTTGCCCATGAGGACAATCTCTATAAGACTGGGCCACAAATGCTCACTGAAACACCCGACTGCTTAGTTATAAGTCTCATGAGGTACAGTATAAGACACCAATAGGTTATAGGACCTGTGGGCGTGTGCTATCCTGAATTCAAAGCCTGTTTAATCTTCATGTAATCTTAAATACAGACACTGATATTGCTGTTAGCACACACTAGCAATTTAGGATAAACCCTTTACACTTCTTGTGCAATACATATATTCTAATGAAGGGAATAACAAATGTAATTACATCTTGTAACATGAACCATTAAAGCTGACGTTGCTTAAAAAGTTCTCTTTCACTTCTCCTTAAATGAATGCAGTAATTCCCATCAGTTACCCGAACTCATAACACTATTGTTTTCTATTAGACGTATTGTATTATACACAATACCTTGATTAGCAAATACCTGGCAATGGAAAATGTATGACTTCATTACCCCCTTTCCTTTATTTCCTCCTCGCCTTGTCCCCCTCCCTTCCCTTTTTTTCTCCTTTCTTTTGTAGAAACGTTGCCATTTCTAAGGTTTCTGGCCTAGGTTTAGGGTGAATTATGAGCATTGTGATGTTCACAATAATAACACCTTTTTTGGTGATTATTACTTCTTATAATCATTTTACAATGTCACTTTAACTAAGTAGTACCATATCCTGCTTTATTACTTATTACCCCCCTCATTTTTGTCCTCCTGTTTCCCTCCCCGTTCTCTTTACCCAATTTGGTATTTTTCTTATGTTTCATTTCATGCACCTTTTTCACAAACACTTTTTTTCGACACTCAGGGGTCTATTCACTAAGCTGCCGAAGGATCTAGCCGTAGCTTCGGCTGATCCTTCGGCTAGCTTCGGCCCCAGGACTCCTTCGGTTCAGTAGAACCGAAGGGCTCCTGTATGGGATATTCACTATAGCCCTTACAGCTCCCGAAGTCGGCCGAGCGGCACAGTCATGCCGAAGGCATATGCTTCGGCTCCACTGAGCCGAGGTGAAAGCCGAAGCTGGCTGAACTGCCGACAGCCTGCTACTGACTGCTGGGCAGAGCCAGCCGTCATCTCAAGGCTGGCTCTGGCCACTTGCACAGACAGATCAGCATCCCTGGTTACCAGGTAACCAGGGACACTGATCTCCAGATAGCCCAACTCTATCGATCGAGCAGAGTAAACCTTTCCATGCTGTTTCTTTTTTTCTTCTGACATCGGAGCCGTTGGCTGCCTTCAGAATAAAAAAAAGAAAAGAAAATCACCATGGGAATGCATAGCTAGATTCCTATTGGCTATTTCAATTTGCAATAGCCAATAGCAAACTAGCTGTCAGCAGAGGGGACCTGAAGTTCTCCATCAGGTCCCCTCTAGTGATTGACAGCAGCAGAGGGCGGGTGCAACAGCTAGTTTGCTATTGGCTATTGCAAAGTGAAATAGCCAATAGGAATCTAGCTATGCATTCCTATGGTGATTATTTTTGGGGGGTTTTGTTTTATTCTGACGGCAGCAGAACCGCCCGGCCAATAGAAAACAGTTGGGCGGAGCTAGCTGTCACCGTTAGCTCCGCCCAATCATTTTCTATTTTATTTTTTTCTACTTTTTAAACTGTTTTTCTATTCTGCTCGGTACCACAGAGGTACCGAGCAGAACAGCCGAGCCGAATGCCGCTCAGCATGTTCGGCCGACCCGAAGCCACCCGATGTATGGCTGATTTCAGCCGATATACGGCTGGAATCAGCCGTACCAGCCTGAAGTGAATAGGCAAACAGTGTTCGGCTCACTTCGTTTCGGGTCGGTAAGTCACTCGGCTGCCTACGGCAGTTTAGTGAATAGACCCCTCATTCTTTTTCCACCCATCTGTATGCTTTAACTTCTTCCAATATGGTGCAGCTATTGTTCCCATTCTCTGTCTCTCGGCCTTCTTATCAGACCCCTGAGAATTGATAGTGGGATCCGCCACCTAGAAGTCTGGCGTCACTGGTTACTAGGATGGGGGCAGCCATGCCGCACAAGTGCACACCATCTGCTCAATCTGCCCTATTGGTTGTGCTATTGCCTAGGAATGAGACATGAATTCCGAATCAGGCTTTGCAGCGCTCCTCAGATCTCACAGATGTGTCCAATGAGCTCTTCTCCCTCTTCTATTATTGGCAATTATGTATGATGGAAGAGCATGGGCAGACATTTTTTAATGCATTTAGGTAATTTAACCATTTCATACTTTTATGACATGCGGGTTTATGACGTTACTATGACGTTAAAGGTCAGGGAGTAGTCTCTCTTTGGAGGTAGGCTTCTCTTTTTTTTGGTTGGTGGATGTTAACCTCAAATATTTGCTCTTTGCACTTATCACATGCCTGACAAAGGGGTCCTATGTGGCTCTGAAACATTGCACCGATTGTGATGTAAGTGCATTAATAAAGGTTTGGACTAAATGTCCGGGATCCATGGTGAGCTGGTGACATACACTCTCTTCTATGCCAATACCAGTTAACCAGCTGGCTGTTACTACAGCACCCTCCTGCTCCAGGCTTCCTGCAGAAATGCGTTCAATAGGACTGTCACATGTGAATGTATTGCCATACTCATTCTTATAGCATTGAAAATCATAGACGAATAATGGAGCAAGAAAGAAAACATGAAGACAGAGCTCACATTGATGTTAAAAGGGGATGCAAAGAAGTAATTTTGAACATCTGCAGAGTGCCCTACAACCGATGAGTCTGAAAGGGTATATTGGCTAATACTTCTCCTAGGATATCATGGTGCAGCACCAACCTGAATGGTGCATGCAATGACCAGGCTGCACTAAGTCATACATTTCAATGGTTTACATCTTAGGGAAATTGGGAGGGGTGGATAATCGCAGCATGTGTTGCTATAAGAAGGATAAAAAAACACACTGAATGCTCCCCCATTATAACTCCAGAATATGCTACTAATGTGGTACATAATGACTTAGACGTGGAGATCTATTTCTAATGACTTTCTTGGCAGGCTTCCTTGTTTATTCAATGATTCAACTATCAATCAAATAACAATGAGCAAAGATAAATTACAGTTAAACAGGTATGCAAAAAATATAATTAACAATTTTGTTACAGCTTACTAACATCACTGTAAGAACTATTACTGATTGAATGCTTTGTATTTCTGTGTTTATTTGCCAGTTCAATGAGCTTGATGGAATCTGTTACATCTCCTAAACAAGCAAATAGTTTCCGTGGTTATGAAAATGCTGGAAGATACATCCCATGACTGCCAGTAATTGTGCTGATAAGGGTTCCAAGTATTCTCCTTCTGACTGCGTGAGAAGGCAAAGAGTATACCGCAAATATGTTAATTGTCATAACTCATTTATTATTAGAAAAATATTAGCTAGATTTGTTCATTTTACATGGCTCAGTAATTTTGTTGACAAGATTAAGGCAGGTGGATAAAGCGAACTAGAGGTCTACATTCTGGAAAACAGCTTTGCTTGTTCCACAAGTTCCATTTTCGCTACGGCTGAGAGGTGAACTTCATCGGGACCGTCAGCGATACGGAGGGTTCGAGCAGCTGCATACCTGTAAGAGAGAGAGACTTTGAATACCGCGCCCCATTACACACATTCCGTTAACTATCAAATAGACCTAAGTAGTGTTAGACATGCCCATTCATTTACCATTCCATACACCTGATCAGTGCTGGGCTTGGACTAAAATCGAAATGTATTCTACACCATCATTCAATTACTATTAAAAAGACCTAAGCAGTGCTGGACTTGGATAACAATCTCAGTGTATTCTACACCATCGTTCATTTACCATTTGATAGGCTTGCTTGACCAGAAAAGCAGCTCAGGCATAAAACGGACACCAGACAACATTTGTTTTCCGGACCAAATGTAGTGGAATTTTTACAATTAATATTTTACGGGAAAATATCTTGGTAGATGGGCCAGGGAGTATCAGGCTAAAGTCCATAATGGTTCTCCAATTAAGGCATATTAAAGAAGAATTCTGGGGGAAATTATTATTAACCCTTGCGGTGGGGCTAACCCCACACTGAAAGAGTTACATGCTCGTTTTGATCCAAGTTATACTTACCTGATCCTCCAAGCCAGCTTGCTCTTAGACTGGTCCTGGTAGCCTCTATACCCCTCTATAGTGCGGTCTAGGGCCAAGTAAATGCTCACATCCAATACACTGTGTATTTGAAGTGAGGACGCCAAGGGAAATTTCATCTCTGCAGCATAGGAGAAGACAGGCAGGAGGGAGCCTACATACTGTATCTCTTGTAATAAAAGTACAGTAAGCTCCTCCTTATCTGGCATTCAAGCAACTGGCACTATTAAGCAACCAGCGCAAAAAATAAATAAAAAGGACATATGTCCTTGATTTTTTTTTGCCGGTGGCTTGATGCACACTAAAAAAATGTCACTTGCGTGGTGCACACCAACACATTTTGTTAGCAACTAAATTCTTTGTTTATATCTTGCTGCCAGCCGGCGTGTAGATTCTGCGGTTGGCAGCAGAATATAAACAACGGGGAGCAATATCCATCCTTTGCCATTGCAATTTGAAGCTCTCTCTCAGGTCCGCTCCTCTGCTCATTGGGCAGGTGCAATAACCAGCCTGCTATTGCAATTTGAAATAGCCAATAGCAGGCTGGCTATTGCACCTGCTCACTGAGCAGAGAAGCAGATCTGAGAGAGAACTTTCTCTCTCAGGTCTGCTCCTCTGCTCAGTGGGTGTGGTTTCAATAGCCATGCATGCTATTGGCTATTTCAAATTGCAATAGCAGGCTGGTTATTGCACCTGCCCAATGAGCAGAGGAGCGTACCTGAGAGAAAACTTTGAACGTGGCGTCGCAGGACGGGGTGGGGGAGATGCTTGAGAGCTACTATTTACTCTCTAGTAACCAGAAACTACAGTTATCTGGCACCTACTGATCCTTGTGGGTGCCGGATAATTGAAATTTTACTCTATATTCATTTGCTTTGTGTCTGAGAATTTTGACACACTGATAAAAAGTTAAACCAGATGCATAACATGACACCAAACTGCAAAGCTCAGGGGAGAATAAATATTTTTATGCTGGCGGTATCATGGACTATATGTATGGTGTAGAATATTTTGCCTGTTATTACAACAGGTAGACTAAACCGAAAGTCTAACTACAATCAACATGATTATTGGTTCAATGGTTAGAACTTCTGTTAGGTATCTATTTGAGGTATGTGGGAGGATCTCCCCTCACTTCATGTCTGAACAGGAAGTAATGGTAAATGTTATCAGCTAAGGCACTGCAACAAAAACTTTTTTTCTTTAGAACAATGAAGAAGGGGTAAAACCTCTGTGAGGTTACTATTATTACCATCTTCCTGTCCCCTCAAGAACTGTCCCCCTTATTTCAGGAAGTGAGGGAGAAGCTCCCCAAAGGAGTCACAGACGGCAATGAAAACTTGACAGAAGTATTTACCCAAGTCTGTCCCAAAGAGAATCATCCCACAGAAGCTAAAGCAAGTTCACAAGGCAAATGATATAGCTTCCAGAGCTATTTTCTCGGTACTATAGATAGGAACATGAATCACAAGGAAAGACAGTTTTATTAAATCTTGCATATTTGTATCTATAATAACAAGCCACTGTGACCACATAGACAAACTCACATGAAAGCCAGAGGGAAATCCTGGGAAACCCCCG